TTGGATATGTATTTTTTTAATTTTTACTTATTTTTAAAGATTTTATTTATTTTTAGAGAGAAAGGAAGAGAGAAAGAGAGGAAGAGAAACATCAATGTGAAAGAGAGCTACATCTATAGGTTACTTCTCACACACCCCTAACCCCCAACTGGGGACCTGGCCAGCAATCCAGGCATGTGCCCTGACTGGGAATCAAAACGTCAACCATTCAGTACGCAGGCTGCCACTCAACCCATTGAGCCACACCAGCCAGGGCGGGCTTACAATTTCTTCCTCTTTTTTGGGTGGATTAAAAGAGTTGGATCACCCCAGCTGGTGTGGCTCAATGGATTGAGAGCTGGCCTGCGAACCAAAGCACTGCCACTTGATTCCCAGTCAGGGCAAACGCCTGGGTTCCAGGCCAGGTCCCCAGTAGGGGATGTGTGAGAGGCAACCACACATCAATGTTTCTCTCCCTTTCTTCCTCCCCTCCCCTCTCTCTAAAAATAAATAAAATCTTAAAAGAAAAAGTTGGATAATTATTTTAAAAAGTATGCATGCTCTTTCCATACTTGAGTCATATTTTTCACTCTTAATTCTAATGTCAAATTCTTTAATCTCTTTTAGTTCACTTTTAACTTTCACAGCTCACCTAATCACCAAACATTTCTAGGTCATGTGTATCTCTCACTAGAACAAGTAGGAGAATCCCATTCTTGTTTGGTGTTGTTTTACTGAAAAAAAGGGTAAGTAACCTGTTGGTTATTCTTCCCCTTCCCACCAATAGCAAACGTCTACCTTTCCACTCTCATTCCTTTCTTTTCTTTCATTTCTACTTTATATACCCCAGTCTTCCCAACTGTACAAAATCTCACCAGTGGAATACTTAATACTGTGAAAACTCTTTAGTCATGAAGATGGATGTAACACTAGAATTACTTTGAGAAGCCTTTATTCCAGTAAAAGGGCTGTCTCATGATTTCCGGCTTAAAATTCTATACGTTTTTAAAGGCCAAGACACATATTAATATAGTCAGACTAGGAAGGACCTAAAAGCTGCCTGGTTCCCTAGCTTAATGGCAGTTCTGTGGGCAGGAGGTGAAAATGAGTGCCTGACAAACACACACCCTAAAACTGCATTGGGCAAATGAAAGTCCACAGAAGCATAACAAAGTGGGACTCAGTCAAGTTAACCGAATCACTATTACTCAACTACTGTTGTTGCATGTTACAAATGTTAGACCCCCAATTTTATTTTTACCTGCTGGAAAAGGAAGCCATTTTTTGCCTTATAAAGGTAGTTCTGAATTAGTTAAATCAAACTTTGAAAATGTGTTGGCCAGTAACAAACCCTCTACGCCAGGAAAAAAAATAAGTTTTTAAGGTTTCTTGGATCTCTTAAGTCCCATTCTCAGACTCAAGTTAAGAGACACCTGTACTATTATTACTGGCAGGCTTGTCCAGTTGTCACTGCTTTTAAACAGAACCCCAAACCTGAGAAAAACAGTACAGAAGGTAGTCAAGGGGCTTTACCTTATTTTCATTCTCCACCACAATCCTATGAGGTGGATATTATTTCCATTTAACTGAGCTGTTTTCTCAGAGGACTGAGTGATTTCCTTAGTCCAAGAAGGTATTAAATGGTAAAAAGTTGGTCTGACTCAAAATCTGGAGCTCTTTCTATACCACTATATTCTTCTTTGAATGTTAATTAGGTTTTCTAATATTATTTCCTCATTTTGTTTTTCATTTCATCACAGCCAAAACAAAACTATTTAATTTGTGGTTACTACTCCTGGATTTAGGCATGAGGTGTTTGGGATCACTGGTGTTAAGTCTCTCCCTATTACCAAGAGAGCTTTTTGGTCTATGATCTGGCAGGAAAGGCAGATTGTATTAGTTCACATATTGCAACTTCAAGTTATCACGCAATAGAAGAGCCCCAGGTTCTCTTACATAAAGTGAAGTCCATACTGGAAGAATATGCCAGTGATCATTTCCCACAGTAATGTTCTTTCAGATCTTGTACAAAGTAACATGGTTCCTACTCTTAATCTACCTGGTAGATGGTATAAATTAAAACCTGTTAAGTGTACCTAACAGCATAGTAGTAACCATTTAATAATGGACTAAAGAGCTCTTCAGCAAAACTTAGAACTCTAGAGGTTAGCTCTTTATATGTGAAGAAAAAAGGTTTTTTTTTTTGGCTAGGTGCTCAACAATACAATGAAATCTAGCTCATTACTGACACAACCAGCCAATAACATGAATTCTAAAAAAGGATTAACTGCATGTTTTTCCTCAAATAAAAAAAAAAAATCAAAGTTCAGAAAAATTGAGAAATACAGTAATTGATTATATGTAAGATCTTAAAATATAACCAAGAACATTTTTACTAACCATTAAGTATCAGTTCAAAGATGTTTTTCTCTAGGAGACATACCTGTTTCTGCTTTATCTTATCACTCTATTTTACTGGAAAGGGGGAAAGGAATTTTATGCAAGATGTTCCAAAAGTCAACATGTCCTGTATGAAAAGATGACAGGGACAAGAGGCTTGCTTGTAAAAAGCCACAGTATCTGTAAATATCAAATTTTCTGAAGTTGAAACAGAAAAAACCTCGGAAAATTAGCAGTGCTGCTGACCTAGTTCTATTATCCTCTTTTCCAAAAGCAGCTCTGTTGAGCATTTACTGAATCAATATTTGAGTATCTACTGTTTGTTAGGAGGCATGGGCCATGCAAAGATCACTAACAGTGTTTTACTCTTGGAAAGACAGAGGCTAGAAGCAAAAGCTTGTTTAGAAGTCTCTGAGTCTTTTGTATGGTAAGGGAATTTAACTGTCATTTACCTAAACTTTTCAAAGGGCAAATTTCAGTCAAACTTGGAGATAAGCCAGTGCTATTCTGAAGAACATGGTTGGTGACCAGTATCAAACCCTCTTAATAATCATTATCAACAAAGAGCTGTTCAGAGATTATCTTGTTATTCTCATCCACTGATCCTTTGCGGTACTTTTTTTTCTTGATAAGGAGACCAAAGGGAAGCAAAATTAAAACTGCTACCAGACTTTTCCTAGGAAAATCCTCACATTAAGTCAACAGCTTTTATACTTCCAGTGTGGAAAACATGCAAATACCTACCTGGAATAGCAAATAAGCTTGTTAGTAGAGGGTAAATACTACCTCATCCCCCTTTGATCCTAAAATTGACTTTTATCTTAAGGAAAATTACAATATATAACAAACTTTGAAACCAAAATAAAAATTATTTGACCTATCATTTTTAATAATTGGGGAAAAACCACCAGAGTGAACTAAATTCAATAACATGTACACAGGTACCAGTTAGTAAAAAGAACAAAGGAGGAAAAAACCTAATACATTTTTTAAAAATGTCCCAGAATCCTAAAACTCATACATAAACCACTGTTAAGTTTATTAATGTTAAGGGCTGTAGTACTAATTATTTTTAACTTTTATTTTTAAATCCTCACTCAAGGATATGTTGATTACAGAGAGAAGGAAGGAAAAGGGGAAGAGGGGAAGATGGGGGAGGGGGAGAGCGGGAAGGGGGAGGAGAGAGGGAGAGATAAAGATATAGATGGATGGATGGATGTTGCCTCTGGTATGTGCCCTGACGGCGGTTCAACCCCCACAGTCTATGTATGTGCCCTGATCAGGACTCAAACTTGGCAACCTTTTGGTGCACAGGACAATGCTCCAACCAAGCCACCCTGGTAGAGCCCAACACTAATGCAGAAAAATACGATAATTTTTAGATTTTAAATATCCTCATTACCTTTCCAATAAGATAAATAAAAGAAAAGCACTGCCATTCAGCTTCAATACATCATGGAATTCCTTTCTCATCTTAGAATTAAATGGCAATTATCAATGTAAAGATTTCAAATAAAAGCAATTAAAAATGCACCCAAAACAGATATCACATGAGAAAACGTGAGCCCATGTTAATTAAGATAAAAAATATTGTTCTTTAAAAAGAGAGCCTGAAAAAAATACCATTTGAGAAAAGAACTCATAACTTAGGAACTGAAACTATTATATTAGTAATTAAAGACAAGTTAAATGAATCATAGTACCATCACAACTTAGACAAAACCCTATATATAGTAGTTCTTCCACGAACAAGATTAAAATAGTGCACCTGGATTTCCAAATGGAGTCCCAGATTCAGTAACCTGTCCAGAGAAACTGAGATACTATCACTCTCTATATACCAGAGTCCTGAGACCCAATGTGTAACCCCAAGTCCTGCTATACAAGAGTAATTATTTAGCAAAAGCACTTTAAATATTATTCCAAGAACTCCTGATTCATTAAATAGGTAAGAGAGAGAGAGAGAAGACATCGCATGTTAAATGGCTGAATCTTCCACCAATTTATCCTAGAGTCAGAAGAAAGTCGTCATTTGTTTAAAAAAAAAAAAAAAGTACTGTTTAATTCTTTAAAGCTTTTTGAGGAGCAGTGCTTCAACAGAGTAGACACTGAATACCTAAAATACTTTGAACCTGGAAAATCAAGCTTGAGTTATTCATAACCTTTTATTGTGGTTGTCTGTGTACACAGTTAACTTCTAACACTAAAATGCACAAAGAGGCAAAAAGTAACTGATGCCAGTGTTTCCTATATGGCTGACTCATTACATTAACATTACAGGGTACATACTACGTCTATAATGAGTCTCCTATTACACCTTTCTTACATAAAAATAAAATACGTGAACTTAGTATATCCACATATGTACATTAAAAAAAATTAACTTTAACTTTACAAATACTCCAACCACTAACTGAAATGGCAATACTACTAATCTTTTCAATTAGTGCAAAAAACACTACCACAGTCTATTTTATAGTCTCTTGGGACCGATTTAGAATATTCAAATTAAAAAAAAGAAAGGAAAAAAAAAACAAAGGAAAAAATGACAGTATCATAATGGATATTCATTATAAGAATCCTATAGTACAGTGAGGCTAAAATGAATGTTGGATTCTCACCAGTACATCATTGCAGATATCTCTTAGCTCAGTCTCAATCTTTTCTCTGTATTCTCGAGCCATCTGCTGTTTTTTCTCAGCACCTTCTGTCTTTTGCTCAATACTCGAGACGACCCTCCAAGATGACCTACGGGCTCCTACAACATTTTTATAAGCAACTGAGAGGAGATTCCTCTCTTCATTGGATAATTCAGCTCCTTGCTCAGTTACAGACTTCATGCAGGCTGCCATGTCATCATATCGCTCAGCCTGCTCAGCCAGCTTGGCCTTCTGCACCAGCTCATTTTTATCCATGACTGGATGTTCTGCAGAGGGGGAAAAAAAAAAGAGAGAGAGAAGTATTTAGATATTTTTCCATCAAAACACACACACTCAAAATTATACCTTTTGTTAAAAAAAAAAAAAGTTGCATTTAACACCTCAAACCCAACAGCCTATGGAAGATAACTGCCTATGGAAGATTCTTCACATGAGGAATTTAATGCAGCCTCATACATACAAAAATGATCAGAACAGGAGGAAAAAAGTGGCATACTCAGCTTTCAAAGGGTGAATTTAAAGCCATTAACATCGGTTTAGCAAAATTTAAACTGCATTACCTTATCTTTGTTCAGAAGATCCTAATTTCACATCAAGTCAAAGAACAGAGGCCACCTTAAAAACTAACCCTTATCTTACTTGGCAAAAATTTCAACTCCAGTTTCCAATATCACTAAGTAATAAAAAATTAAGCAGCTTTTCTTTAGTGACAACCTTGCCTATGAAGAACAATACATTTCTATCATATTTTCAAAATCATGATTCATGTCAGTTTAATGTCCAATTCATGTCTTTTTACTCTTAATACCTCCTTTTTTCAGGAGTGTTTAAGTTTAAATTTTAATTGATATTAACCCCACTCCAAATCCACTGATCGCTACTTTTCCCAGCTGATCACAGAATAATTTTCTGGAAAGAATGACCACATTTCATGTTTTAAGATATTCTGAATACAAAACCACCACTAAAGATCGATAACTGACCATAAGGCCTCATTTAGCTGTACCTTATTATATATACACTTGTTTAACAAAATCTACCCACGAGCCCTGGAACTTCAACTCTTACCATGTGTCAGCACTAAATTTATAGATTGTGTTGCCAGTGTGACCAGTGCTTCGATATCATTATTCCAGTTTAAATGCAGAATTCACTGTTTCTAGTAGTCAAAATTAATTGAACAGTGCTAAAACAAAGATACTAAAACACACAATGAGATCCCACAGAAGAAACGATTTTAAATAAAAATGTACTGTCTTAAGTACACCATTAAAAGGTGAACAGAAGAGCCACTGTCACTCACCATGGGAACTGACTCCCCAATACCATATCCTTTATCTTCCCAGGGAAAGCCCACAATACTTAAAAAAAAAAAAAAAAAAAAAAAAAAAAAAAAGCCGCAACAGATCCCCAGTATTCAAACAAGTAATCAGCTACCTTGGATGCAAGGTAGTGTTTCAATGCTAAAACTATTTAAAATTTGTGATGGCATAACCCCACGCCGGCATTTCTCGAAATTAACTAATCCCCCCACCAAGAACTCAAAAAAAAAACCAAAAAACCCAAAAAACAAAACGAAACCCAACCCCCCCCCACAAAAACCGCTCTCCGATTAATGCTGCTTCTAATGCAGAATAACCTAAAACCAGTAAAAATGATTTTCTCCCCAACCGCTTGGGTACAAGGGGAAGTGGATTGTGTTTCTCACATAATAACTAGTGCTCCAAGGCCTCGCCGCACCCATTTAACCCTTAACCGCCATTAAGACGTCGAGTCGGGTGAAACGAAAACCGGCCGACCGTGACTTAAAATCGCAAATCCTAGGGTCCGAGCTATCTGCAACCCCCACTGCTTGGCTCCGCCCAAGCTTGTGCCTCCGCATAAGTTCCCGACTCTCCCCCCCTTTGTCATGGCGGATCTGTGTCAAGGAGCCCAACCTACTGCCGAGTGTTAATTTCCCCCCACCAGAGCGGGAGGGAAGAACAGCGCGCCCCCGCCCGAGCCGGGGTTTCGGGGAGCCGCCGCCTGCCCCGGGGGCAAAGAGGCCAGCGAGGCCAACACCGCCCGCAGAAGCAGAACCACGACCCGCGGGGCCGCGGACACACCCCACTTTCCCACCGGCGTCCCCTCCGCCACCCGACACCGCGGGTGCTCATTTAGTCTGTATCGGCCCGACAGCTGCAGCAGGTGGGGGAGGGGGCAAGAGCCACACCCTGGCGAGCCGGGCCACCACCGGCTGTTACACTCTGGCTTCCCCGCCCCGCAGAGCAGGGTACGCAGCTTCAAACAGCCCAGGGACCCTCTAGTTTAGCCCACCCGATAGGCGAGTCAGATACGCTGATCCACAGCCTTGCCCATCTCCTTCTCTAGCCCCACCTGGGCTTGGAGCGCCCCCCACACCCCATTCACCAGAAGAAAAGACCAGCCCCACCCCCCACCCAGAATATTCGAGCCTCTCTCCCCCGCGGAATCCAGGAAATTCGGCTCTGTCTCAGGTGATCCCACCCGGAGCTAGCTCACCCCCGCGCGAAACGCGTCCTCGCCCTAGTCTACCTGGAAGGCGCCTCAGGGCGGGCCTCTGCTCGGGACTCGGTCTCCAAGCCCGGCCCTCCCGCTGCTCCGCCGCCAGAGTTGGGGGGGGATGGTGCTGGGTGCCGCCGCCGCCGCCGCCGCAGCGCGGGGCGCGGAGGCTGCGCCGAGAAGCAGGCGGGGGGCAGGGGGAAGGGAGAGCCACGGGGAGGGGGCGGCCTCACCTGCGCCACTGCAATGCCCGCAGCCGCCGAGTCATTATCTCCGGCCGAAAATGGGAGCGGGGCGACGAGGGGGAAGGGACTTTGGGGGCATAGGGACGACGGTGGGAAGGGATCTCGGGTAGTGGTGCCTCAGCCACCCCGGGAGCAGGCGACGAGCAGGTCCCCGGGGATCTCGCGTGTGGGCGCCCCTTCGACCCCTGGGGAGAACCAGGAATGGGCGCTTATTCGGGCCGAGGCGCCGATCCGGAAGCAAGTAGCCCGAGGCAGCCGCAAGCCGCCCGCCCGAGTCCAGCGGAAGGAAAGCCGCCGCCCGTCTCCGCTTAAGGAGACTCCGCCTCAGCCCTGCGCCGCTACCGCCGGGCGAGCGGGGCTGAAGGGATGTGGAGCAGGGACGGTCCCCGCGCTTTCAGAAGACTGGTCTAGAACAGGAAAGAGTGGGGCGAGGCGACGGCGGCCGGGTTCCTTACCTGTGTCCGGAGTGGGTGGCGGCGGAACGACGGGGGCTCAGTAGTCTCTGGGCGGCGGCAGCGGCGGCGGCGGCAGCGGCAGCAGCGAGGCTGAGACTCTGTCCCTCGATCTTACTGCTCACAGGCTACAGCCGCTCCGCAGACACGGGGTTTCCTCCAATCACCAGCCCCGGCAGCAGGGGCACCACACGCACGATGACGTCAAACGCTGCTATGGCAACCGTTGATTGGTGCCCACAGCTCTTGGGGGCCCGGCGCAACCGCCGCTCCCTAGCGCGCGCCCGCGCTAGAGGGCGAGCTGAGGAGCGCGCGTCCTCTCCCGCTACCAGTCCTTTTTCCCAACCTGCTCAGCTTCCAACTTCTCTAGTCCCAAATGCGCCTGGCCAGGAAGCTCTTTTTTTTCTCCTTCTCACCGCTACCCACTAAGTCTTCCCGTCGAGCTCCAGCAACTCAGTCTAAACCAGAGAGAAAGTTTCTCCCCACCCCCACCTTAGCTTGCCTTGCGGGCCTGCGCCTGCGCCAGTCACTCCCTCTCGAAGGGGCTCTAGTTCGGCAACATCCGGGACCTTTCACATTCCACTCTATTCCCTGCCCGCGGCCTGCCCAGCCCCTCCCACGGTGCTTCGCAGTGGTAACTTGTCCCTAAGGCTGTCCGGGCGCTGGATTACGAGAATGGCTCCGTGGTTTGGGCATTATGATCAGGATTTAGCGGGGCGGGGGGGGGGGGGAGGAGGGGAGAATGGACGGACAGGGCGCGGTCAGGCAGGGAGGGGTTATGTGGCGAGCACCCCCAGGCCGCCGCTCCCCCCACCCAACCGCACCAGGCGGGCCCCTCCCTTCCTCCCTTCCTCCTTTTCTCCCTTCCTTCCTTCCTTCCTCCCTTCCGCCGCCGCAGTTTTACCTGCTGGCTCGGAGAACACTGTCTTAGACCTTTTAAGGCGCGGAATAGGGAATGTAGCGTCCGACCCCAGAGTGTGGACTGAGTGACAGGAAGGTTTTCCAATCGCCAATTCGGGATCTGCGCGCTTTGACAGCTGCAAAGGGACAATGGGTGGGCGTGAAGTGGGAGTGAAGTGGCTCCCGAGAGCGGACGGAGCTGGAGGGAGGTGAGGCCTGGAAGCAGACGCCGCCGCTTTCAGAAAGCCTACAACTTCCGAGTGCGAAAGACCACCTTCTTATATGGAGGGTTTGGGGTGCTCATGGAGGCCTTTTGTACTAGCTCATTTATCGTAGCTTAGATTTTAATATCCAAGTAAAACATTCACTTGAGGACCTTATGCTGCAGTGATTTAAAACATACAGATCATTACCCATTCTGGAAAAAAGTTTGAGGCAAGTGGTAGTTCCCAGGGCTCCTGCTGATCTAGCCGTGGCAGGGGGGCGGGGGCGGTGTGGGGAGTGGACCCCTGGCTGGGCGAGAACAGGGACCTAGACCCAGGAAGCAGGGGGGACAGTGTTGGGGGGGGGGCGGTGCGAGTAGAAAGGAGGCGGATATTGCTGGTGCCGTACAAACCTGCCAACTTAAAACGGTGGGGCCTCCACCCTGGCAACTTAGGGAAGTTCAAAGAGCTACATTCACGGTGTAAAATGTCTCTGCCCCTTCTCTCTCTAACTATTAGAGCGAAGAAAAGGTTAGTGGCTTGGATGACCTGCAAAACCAGTTGCAAAAGTCATTGAGAGTTTATAGTTAGTAGTGAGAACTAAAAACTCGCCTACTACCCTTGAGTAAACTACATCTTGGTCTCATTGATTTTTAACAGCGCATCTTTATTGAGCACCTACTAGGGGCCTGGTTAGGCACAACTGACAAAGGAGCCACACAAAAGAGTTCAGCAAGCTCTGCAGAGGATTTTTATCAGTAGCAGACACAAAATGACTCCTCAATCTTCTAGCATCTTGTCAGTTCTGTTAGATGGATACAATGTGCCATGAGGCTGTTCTCCAATTTACATTTTGCCTGAAAATCCAACCGGCATTTAGGTAGCAGAGTGTAAACCAGGAAGAACATTTGCAGCGGCCAGTTCAATTTCAGTGTTTTTTTTTATCCGCCCCCCGCTGCCCCGCCCCGCCGCCCCAGATTTCCGCATCAGCACATCCATAGTAGACTGAATGGATGAATGAATTGATAAGGTTTTAATTTTTGAGGTAGTAAAGTCACTTTTCTTTGACTCTCAAGTGATTTCTTTCAGAATGAGTCATTAAAATGACTAATATTTCAAAAGGTTTTTTAAAAAGTTGCCTCCAGTTTTGTGATAGGCACCAAAAATTTGACAAGATATTAATTTAAATGTCTTTCAAAATTGATGTTTCTTTAACACCTCAAATAATGTGTATTAGAATATATGCCTTTTTGTTTTAGAGGAAGTGAAAGGATTTTTCCCCATAAGTTGTGGATTTACCTTAGGAAACAGCTAAATTAGGGTTTTTTTAATTTTGTGCTTTGAATAACAAGGTATGTTTTTAGTAAAACACATTAAGTTTGTGTTGGTCTGTTAGCACTAATGCGATAAAAATGATGAGACAGTGCATATCGCTCCATCCTTGTCCCAGGGACTGCAAGGACCACTTCAGATCTATGAAGTACATTAAAATGGGAAAGAGTTAAGGTGAATTAGTGTAAGTCCATCATTCCAATTGGAAAAACAGAACAAAGGATGGAGTCTACTGATGTAACTGTGGCAGTTACATGATCTTTTCAAGTTTAATCACAATTCAGTCAAGTTATAATCTCACTTAGACTTCATGATTTAAATAAAGGAATGGAGCATAGTACAGTGGGCTTTTGGAGTCAGAATGGGGTACAAATCTTGGATTGTTATTCAGAGCTACGTGACCTTAGGTTACTAAATGGAACATACTATACTAACACCCAATTCCATCAGATTATTGCAAGGATTAAGTGAGAAAGTAAGAAGAGGGCTGCACGTACTGTTCTACATCATGATGATCTATTGTTGGAATAACTTGGAGTTTGTGCCAGAGGCAGACTAGTTACTCACCAAAGCCAATTTTCTCTATCAGAGTCACAGCTTGACTCTATTGCCCAATCTCCCTTGCAATTAGGCAGGATCATGTGACTGAGTGCTAACTACTGGAATATAATCAAATGATGTGCTCCACTTACGGCCCTGGTCCATAAAAACCTTTCTGTACCTCTATGTGGTCCCTGAATGGAACTCTACCTACTAGCTGAATGGAGAGGATTTCAAGGCTTTCCAGGACAGTAGGACCATAAAATAAAAGGAGCCTAGGCCCCTGAAAGTCTATGAAAGCCAGCCCCATCATTTTAGACTTTATTGAGGGATAACTTCTATTTTTGTCACTGAGATTTAGGGCTTGTTGTGACACCTAGCACTGTGATGTCTGTAGATGTCATTAGCAAGTCCAATGCATGGTAAAGATTATTTTTTAAAGAAGAAATTGGGGAAAAATTTAAAAAAACAGAGAGAAAGAAAAGGAAATCAGATCTTGTGATAAGACATTTAAAAATTCTTAGCTAATCTTGTTGACCTCTAGAATGACCTTAGGAAAGTGATTTTTTTCCCTCGCTTAGTTCTAAAATTTAAATTTATTTTTAAAATTTACTATTTACTGAATGCCCTCTTAACTGCCTACTACTTTAGCCTTGTTTTTCTAAAAAAAAAAAAAAAAATTTTCAGTCCATACCTTTTAACTCTGTTCCTACATCCCAGACTCTAGTCTCTGTTCTATGATACTTTGGCCACAGACTGGGTTTTCTGCATGTTGATTGAAAAAACAAAAGTGTAAACCAATAAGAAAGCCAAACAGACTTTTATTTCAGTTTGAACTCTCATTTCATGCATTCATCAAGCCCTTAATGAGGGCCCACTGGTCAGATTATGCTACTGGTTGGGATAAAAAAGCCTATGTAGATCATGGTCTCTTCCTGTAGATCATGTGGGAGGAGCCCACATTCTAAGGACAGAGACAGACACCAAATGCAATAGCAGAGCAACACAGTGAAGTAGGAGCTAATAAAGGTGAGCAAATTGTGTTTTGGGAAATCTGACCTGTGAGCACTAACTGTCCACAGAGAAGTGGAGAAGATTCCCTGAAAAAGCACATATTCATGCAATAAATTACTAATTTGATTATAAATGACTGAATTTTGCTTTCTTGCCTCCAACGGCATTTCTAATTCCACAGGGAAATTTTTGAGTTTCTTTACATTCTTCAGGGTCACTGTTTGATAGATACCACATCTCCTCACATTCTTTTGAGGATATAACAGACATTTTCTAATGTTTTCTTTTTCTGTGGTAAAACATCCTCAAATATTTGCTCTTCTTTGGAGTCTTCAACTAGTGTTTTGTTTCCTTGTACTATTGAAATTTTGGTAGATCTTATGCTATGGTAGTGATAATTTTCCTATTACATGTCAATGAGGTAAATTCCTTCCAATCTCAGGGTTGGCCAACTGACAGATGAAATTTCCTCTGCTTCTCTACCATCCTCTTGAAAAATGGTAAGTCTAAAGATTTGAGAGGGTTCAAGTATACGCTCCTTTGCCTAAATTCTGGAATCCAGCAGACATTTACATTTATCACCTGTTGAGCAGCCTCCATGACAAGATCTCCCCCTGACCTATTGTCCAGTTGTCTACTATGAAGAGAATTTAGGTTGTCAAGAATCAGAGGCTCTCTGTGGTTCTTTAATCAGCTGTGATAAATGAAAAAGCTACAGACTTGAGCACTATAGGACTGTCATCATGCTCGCACATGCTGCTTTATCTGTAGCTTCTTATTCCAGGCCTAGCCATCACATTTTGTAACCAGACACCCCTGCCTCGCTGGCCCTCTGTATTCTCGTTGGCCTTCTCCTGGGACTTGTAGATTTTGACTGAATAACACTTTGAGAGCTCAACTTCTCACCAGCTTTGCTCTTCTTTCTCAGAGGATAAAGTATGTGTGATAAATTTCTTGGTTTAGCCTCCTCTGCATTGTAATCAGTAGAAATTTCTCTGGCAAATGGTTGATTCTTATTTTTCAAAAACTCATGATATTGTAATGGGAAGATGAGAAAGGTTCTAATAAGAATCTTAGTTTGGCCCCATTTTAATATCTTAACCTTTAAGTCTCCAGTAATTCTACATATATAAATTCTATTTATAAATTCCGTATATACATTTATAGAATTCTATTTATAAATGCTACAAATGTGTGTGTGTGTGTGTGTGTGTGTG